AAACGCGTGCATAGACATCTCTCTAGAGAATTGATGATGGAAGTTGGGCAGCGCTTTCGGTCATCCATTAGGGTGGAGGTGAAAATGGAGAATTTGAATTGTTACACATTTGTGATTCAGCACGCAGGTTGAATGTGGGCAAGCAGCAGGAGCAAGCAGACTGTTACTACTGTAGGTGGTGTGTGATCTGGAGAGCGGGAATGCGTTGTGCGTCGGGCAGTTTACGTAGCCTCCAAGGGTTTCGTGGGCGGTGAGTTGTTCGGTTGCACTTGATGATGATGTGGACGAGGAGAATGAGGGCACGAAGGGTGATGGATCGTTATGGATACCGTAGTTTCAAAGACGTGGGATTTTATGTTGGGGTGAATTGGTTGGCATTTTGCGGGGAATGGTTGCATAAAGCGGTAGCGCCGAGCCGGTACGCGGGCAGGGGGGAAGACGTCAACTGGCGGGATGTGCGGTACAGGATGTATGGTACAGGATGTATGGTTGTGTGAGATGGAGTGTGGAAAAGGTTGGAAGGCGGGGGCTCGTGGCAGAGGGGGCTCGTGGCAGAGGCTCGTGGTTTGAATGGTGCGGGACATTTACAAAGGCATTTACCGAAAATAGGGCGGTGAGAAGGGTGTCGATTGCTTGGGCGGAAGAGGATTTCCGCATTGCCGTGCGTCTGGCGGGGCGGGACGGTGGCGGCGCGTGCAATAGACCAGCGATGGTACGGTTTCTGATTATTTTCCGCCGTTTTCATGACCTCATCGGCCGAAAGCGGCCGATGAGGTGGCCACGGACGTGACGCACATCACAACCCAGTTTACAGTTTACAGTGTTGAGCACTGCCAACGAGGCGGGCGATTCCACAACCACAACCACAACATCTACGCAACCACGACATCTAACATTGTTACAGCACACAGCACACAGCCCACTCGCTCCCTGCGCGCCGCCAGCGCCCTCGCTCGAGCCGCCCGCGAGCCGACGGCCACGCGCTCTTCCCGCGGCGTGGCGCGAGCACACGTCACCACGTCACGCCGGCCCTTCCAGCGCGGGGCGCCTTCTAAAAAATAAAAAAGGTGACGCGCGGCCGCGTGGCGGCGTGACGCCCCGCCCATCCGTCCCATCACGCATGGCGCCGCGCGCGCAGCCCGGCCGCCGACCACCCCACGGCCGCACACAAC